TCCGGCTCCGTCCCACAGCGCCGAGCTTGGGCCATGGCAGGAAAAAATACAAGCACGACTGGCGGAATTCCAGTTTAATTGCCGTAAAATGCCAAAAAATTAAATTAGGTCACTACGGGGCGGTGACTATGGTTCCTTAGGTACTATTTGATGTCCCGGACAAATATTAGGCGATCCGGTTCTGGCTCCATCCCACGGCGTCGGGCTTGGGCCATGGCAGGCGAAAATACAGGCACGACTGGCGGAATTCCAGTTTAATTGCCGTAAAATGTCAAAAAATATAATTCGGTCATAGGGGGGCGGTGACTATGGTTCCTTAGGTCCTATTTGATGTACCGGATAAATATTAGGTGATTCGGTTCCGGCTCCGTCCCACGGCGTCGGGCTTGGGCCATGGCAGGCGAAAATAGAGGCACGACGGGCGGAATTCTAATTTAATTGCCGTAAAGTGCCAAAAAATGTAATTTTGTCATGGCGGGGCGGTGAATATGGNTCTTCCGATCGGAGCCGGAGCCTGATCACCTAATATTCATCTGGGACATCAAATTCGACCTAAGGAACCATATTCACCGCCCCGCCATGACCAAATTTTAGTTTTTGGCATTTTACGGCAATTAAACTAGAATTCCGTCCGTCGTGCCTGTATTTTTGCCTGTCGTTGCCCTACCTCGATGCCGTGGGGCTGAGCCGGAACCGGATCGCCTAATATTTATCCGGGACATCAAATACGACCAAAGGAGCCATAGTCACAGCCCCGCCATGACCAAATTACATTTTTTGGCATTTTACGGCAACTAAATTGGAATTCCGCCAGTCGTGCCTGTATTTTCGCCTGCCATGGCCCAAGCCCGACGCCGTGGGATGGAGACGGAACCGGATCACATAATCTTTGTCCGGGACATCAAATACGACCTAAGGAACCATATTCACCGCCCCGCCATGGCCAAATTACATTTTTTGGCATTTTACGGTAACTAAACTGGAATTCCGCCAGTCGTGCCTGTATTTTCGCCTGCCATTACCCAAGCCCGACGCCGTGGGACGGAGCCGGAATCAGATCGCCTAATATTTGTCCGGGACATCAAATACGACCTAAGGAACCATAGTCACCACCCCGCCATGACCAAATTACATTTTTGGTATTTTAAAGCAAACAAACCAAAATTCCGCCAGTCGTGCCTGTATTTTCGCCTACCATAGCCCAAGCCCGACGCCGTGGGACGGAGCCGGAACCGAATCGCCTAATATTTGTTCAGGACATCAAATACCACCTATGGAACCATGGTCACTGCCCCGCCATGACCATATTAAATTTTTTGGCATTTTACGGTAATTAAACTGGACTTCCGCCAGTCGTGCCTGTATTTTCGCCTACCATAGCCCAAGCCCGACGCCGTGGGCCGGTGCCGGAATTGGATTGCCTAATATTTGTGCGGGACATCAAATACGACCTAAGGAACCATAGTCATCGACCTTCCATGACCAAATTATATTTTTTGGCAGTTTACGGCAATTAAACTGGAATTCCGCCAGTCGTGCCTGTATTTTTGCCTGCCACTACCCAAGCCCGACGCCGTGGGACGGAGTCGGAATCGGATCGCCTAATATTTGTCCGGGACATCAAATACGACCTAAGGAACCATAGTCATCACCCCGCCATGAACAAATTACATTTTTTGGTATTTTACGGCAAACAAACTGGAATTCCGCCAGCCGTGCCTGTATTTTCGCCTGCCATAGCCCAAGCCCGATGCCGTGGGATGGAGCCAGAACCGGATCGCGCAATATTTTTTCGGCACTTCAAATACGACCTAAGGAACCATAGTCACCGACCCGCCACGACCAAATTACATTTTTTTTGCATTTTACGATAATTAAATTAGAATTCCGCGAGTTGTGCCTTTATTTTCGCCTGCCATAGCCCAAGCCCGACGCCGCGGGACGGAGCCGTAACTGAATCGCCTAATANNGAAAAATCAGGCACGACTGGAAGAATTCCAGTTTAATTGTCTAATATGCCAAAAAATGTACTTCTTCATGGCGGGGCAGTGACTATGGTTACTTAGGTTGTATTTGATTTCTCGAACAAATCTTAGGCATTGCGTTACCGGCTCCATCCCACGACGTCGGGCTTGGGCCATGGCAGGCGCAAATACAAACACGACGGGCGGAATTCCAATTTAATTACCGTAAAATGCCAAAAACTATAATTCGTTCATGGCGGGGCCGTGACTAAGGTTCCTTAGGTCGTATTTATGTCCCAGAAAAATATAAGACGATTCAGTTTTGATTCCGTCCTACAGCGTCGGGCTTGGGCCGTGGCAGGCGAAAATACAGGCACGATTAGCAGAATTCCAATTTAGTTGATGTAAAATGCCAAAACTATAATTAGGTCATGGCGGGGCGGTGACTATGGTTCTTAAGGTTGTATTTGATGTCCTGGGCATATATTAGGCAATCCGGTTCCGGCTTCGTCACATGCTCGAGATTGGGCCATGGCAGGCAAAAATAAAGGCACGACGGACGGATTTCCAGTTTAATTGCCGTAAAATGGCAAAAAATTTAATTTGTTCTTGGCGTGGCGGTGACTATGGTTCCGTAGGTCGTATTCGATGTACCGGACAAATATTTTGCGATACGGGACCGTCTCCGTCCCACGGCGTCGGGCTTGGGCCATGGCAGGCGAAAATACAGGCACGACTGGCGGAATTCTAGTTTAATTGCCGTAAAATGCCAAAAAATGTAATTGGTTCATGGCGGGGAGGTTACTAGGGTTACTTAGGTCGTACTTGATGTCTCGGAAAAATATTAGGCGATCCGGTTCTGGCTCCGTCCCACGACGTCGGGCTTGGGCCATGGCAGGCAAAAATACGGGCACGACTGGCGGAATTCCAGTTTAATTGCCGTAAAATGACAAAATATGTAATTCGGTCATGGTGTGGCGGTGACTATGATTCCTTAGGTCGTATTTGATGCCCCGGACAATATTACACGATCCGGTTACGGCTCTGTCCCACGGCGTCGGGCTTGGGCCATGGTAAGCGAAAATACAGGCACGATGGGCGCAATTCGAGTTTAATTTCCGTAAAATGCCAAAAAATGCAATTTCGTCATGGCGGGGCGGTGACTATGGTTCCTTAAGTCGTATTCGATATCCCGGACAAATATTAGCCGATCCGGTTCCGGCTCCGTTCCACGGCGTCGGGCTTGGGCCATGGTAGGCGAAAATACAGGCACGATTGGCGGAATTCTAGTTTAATTGCCATAAAATGCCAAAAAATATAATTTGGTCATGGCGGGGCGGTGAGTATGGTTCCATAGGTCGTATTTGATGTCCCGAACAAATATTAGGCGTTTTGGTTCCGGCTCCGTCCCACGGCGTCAGGCTTTGGGGGGAAGGCAAAAATACAAGCACGACGGGCGGAATTCCAGTTTAATTACCGTAAAATGCCAAAAAATATAATTCTGTCATGGAGGGGCGGTGAATATGGTTCCTTAGGTCTTATTTGATGTCCCATACAAATATTAGACGATCTGGTTCTGGCTCCGTCCCACGGCGGCGGGCTTGGGCCATGGCAGGCGAAAATACAGGCATGACTAGCGGAATTCCAGTTTAATTGCCATTAAATGCCAAAAAATATAATTTGGTCATGGCAGGGCGGTGACTATGGTTCCTCAGGTCGTATTTGGTGTACCGGACAAATATTAGGCGATTCGGTTCCGGCTCCATCCTGCGGCGTCGGCCTTGGGCCATGGCAGGCAAAAATACTGGCACGACTGGCGGAATTCTAGTTTAATTGCCATAAAATGCCAAAAAATTTAATTTGGTTATGGCGGGGTGGTGACTATGGTTCCTCAGGTCGTATTTGATGTCCCGAAAAAATATTAGGCGATCCGGTTCTGGCAACGTCCCACGGCGTGGGGCCTGGGCAATGGCAGGCGAAAATACGGGCACAACGGCGGAATTCCAGTTTAATTGGCGTAAAATGCCAAAAAATGTAATTCGGTAATGGCGCGGCGGTGAATATGGTTCCTTAGGTCATATTTGACGTACCGGACAAATATTAGACGATTCGGTTTCGGCTCCGTCCCACAACATTAGGCTTGGGCCACAGGCGAAAATACAGGCACGACGGGCGGAATTCCATTTTAATTGCCGTAATATGCCAAAAAATGTAATTTTGTCATGGAAGGGTGGTGACTATGGTTCCTTAGGTCGTATTGGATGTCCCGGACAAATATTAGGCAATACAGTTCCGGCTTCGTCCCACGGCGTCGGGCTTGGGCCATGGCAGGAGAAAATACAAGCACGACTGGAGGAATTCCAGTTTAATTGCCATAAAATGCCAAAAAATATACTTTGTCATGGCGGGGCAGTGACTATGGTTACTTAGGTCGTATTTGATTTCTCGAACAAATCTTAGGCATTCCGGTACCGACTCCGTCCCACGGCGTCNTATATATATATATAAAATTTACAAGAAAATGTCTTAGATAAAAAAGTTTCAAAAAAAAAATAGCCCGGACCACTTAGGCCCGTGGGCCCGGCCCATTTAGCCCGGGACCATGTGGGCTTAGGCCCACAACAGGCCGGTTCCATCCTTTGGGGCCGTTTGGCCCAGGACCGCCAGAGCTCGGCCTGGCCCGTTAGGCCCATTTGGGCCCGGCCCAGAATACAGCATTACACTGAAGAATGATAACAAAATGGCCAACTTATTGCTGAAAATGACTTTTTTCTGTATGTTCATTTAATCCAAAAGTAGTTGACTAGTTATTGGCTTAGAAAAGATCTCAACTTTCGCATTAATTTTACCATTTTTTTTGTTTTGTTTAATATTTTCTTGAAGATGTACCCTTTGTGAATCTTGACCTTCACATGTACGGTTAAGATGTTGACATGTGTGAATAAACCAAAATTCTGATGTTAATTTTATCTCAAGTATATCCTTTCTATATGTTCTAAATACTAGTAATGTTTATTTCTTCTGATGATTGAAGTTATGGGGCAAGCTTTGGGTTGTGTTCAAGTGGATCAATCCACAGTTGCTATAAAGGAAAATTATGGGAAGTATGAAGATGTTGTTGGTCCAGGTTGTCACTTCATGCCATGGTGTTTTGGAAGCCAATTAGCTGGTTATTTTTCTCTCAGAGTACAGCAACTTGACATTCGCTGTGAATCCAAGACTAAGGTTTTTCTAATTGCATATTTGTCTCTCTTTTTTCCTCTTGGGCAAAGGTTTCTGGTGTTTTACTTCTTGAATACTCTCTCCTCGAGATTCAAGGTTTTTCTAGTCAAATTTTGCAGTATTCTTGGTAGTTTGAATTGCAACTATCTTGTCAAGGGAATGTTTTTGATTAGTTGTTTCTTATAAAAGCTGTATTTTCAGAATAATGTTTTTCTGACTCTGGTTGCTTCAATCCAGTACAGAGCCTTGGCAAATGAGGCAGCAGATGCCTTCTATAAGCTAAGTAACACAAAAGAGCAGATTAAAGCATATGTCTTTGATGGTGAGATGCAAACATTATGCCTGTCCATTATCATAAATTTAAAAAAAAAATGCAACAGTAGCTGAAGTAAATCTTCAACGCTCCTCCTTTGCTTCAGTTGCTGCAATCTAAAAAAATAGCTCCTCCTCAATTACTACTTATGTTGTTTGTGCGTGAGGATTGTATTGAGCTTCTTTAAACTTGCATATCTCTCTAACATGACCTGTTTGTTCGTAATTTCTATATATTGTATCATGTCTCCACCAACAAAATTTTTCTAGCTGTGTTTTCCTTTTGCAATATCTGCCAAAAGGATAATTGATCTTTTCTTTTTTGTGTTTGTGCAAAAAAAACACCCTCAATAACTATGTTTTGTATTTGTATTTTTTTTCCTTCTAAAAACTTCCAAGTGAAGTAAATTTCAGACTTTATTATTATTGTAGTACTTTAGGTCATCTACGTCTAAAATTTTCAGGATTGCTTCTTCCAAATTTTTTGTATCGGACAAATGCACTATCGTACTATTCTAGTATGTGCTATCTGCTAGCTTCCACTATCACAAGTACAGAATAATTCTATCACCAAAATTTAACAAATGAAAAGAAATCACCTAACTTCTTTTTGTATTTGCTGGGAGTAGGGTTGTGCATGGATCGGATCAGATCGGATTTAGCACATTTCGGATTCGGATTTCGCATTCTAGAAAATGCAATCCTAATCCGATCAGAATTATATCAGATCGGATCGGATAGGATTTTAAAGTTTGGATCAGATCGAATTATTATGCCTCAAAGTTGCAAACTAATATGTATATTTTCTTTGTAAAAGAGGCAATACATTAAGAAAAATTTATGTTTATGCAATTATGAGAGTACTATGGAGCCAATATAGCTAAATCCAGCAATTGTAAAGGTAATAGCTATTGGATCACCAGTTCTTGTTATAGTTATCAGTTTGTTTTTAGTATTTATCTCTTTAGATTAGATTGCATTTATCTTCTAGAATAGATGATATTATAGTTAGGCATTTAGAGTTATCCCTTTGATTTAGATAGGATTCATCAGTTATCAGGTTTACATAGATGTCACGACCCGGATTTTCCACCATCAGAGTCGTGATGGCGCCTACTCGTGGTAGCTAGGCAAGCCAACTTAATTACCTTTCCATCACTAGCAATTATCTTTAACAGTTTATAACATCAATATAGAACATAAAGTCTAATAAGAACAATAGCGGAAGTCTGTCTTAAAATGATGAATTTAAAATGCGGAATAGTCAAAAACAACCTCTACCCAAGATTTGGTGTCACATTACTCACGAACCACTAAGAATAAACTAAATACAAAAGTCTGAAAGAAATATAACAATTGTCTGTCTCGAAACAAGGAGGCAACAGTCTAAAAGAAAACAATGAGAAGAGACGCCGGGCCTGCGGACGCCTGCAAGGCTACCTCAGTCTCGTGAATATGAATCGCCTGCTTCCGAACTACTGTTGCTGCTGTTCCTCAAAACCTGGACCTGTGCAAAAATGCACAGAAGTGTAGCATCAGCACAACCGACCCCATGTGCTGGTAAGTGTCTAGCCTAACCCCGGCGAAGTAGTGACGAGGCTAGACTGGACACCACATAAACCTGTGCAGTTATAGATATACCGCGGAAAACGAATACAAAGCGATTACCAACATGGGAGGGGAAACATGCTATGGGGAGTTACAATAATAACAATAATCCAGAGTAACAACTAAAGCAACTTAGGTTCACAGTGAACAAGGAATCAATACTCAAATGTAAACACATAGCCTCAACAATTGTTGCGGCGTGCAACCCGCTCCATAATTACCATTGTTGCGGCGTGCAACCCGCTCCACAATATCATTGTTGCGGCGTGCAACCCGCTCCACAATATCATTGTTGCGGCGTGCAACCCGACCCTCATTATATATATCATTGTTGCGGCGCGCAACCCGATCCTCACACATTATTGTTGCGGCGTGCAACCCGATCCTCAATATCATTGTTGCGGCGTGCAACCCGATCCTCAATATCATGGTACAGTCCGACTCCCCAAACAACAGTCACAATCAAGGGGCACAAAATAAGCAAATATTTGACAACCATCCCGGCAAGGGAAAGAATCCAACAAGTTCAACCAAACGTCCCGACAAGGGAATAATCAACAACGCTTTCTCTTTCTTACTTTCCTTATCTTATAATTCACTTTACTATTTTGAGCCAACGCTCCAAAGAATCAAGTCATTTCGTATACTTTCAATATTCGTATCACAATTCGAGCCAATGCTCCAGGAATCAAATGATCCTATTACCGTTCACATGTTATTCACAACAACTAGAAATCCTCCAATAAAAACGGAGTTCACAACCAAATCATGATAATCACATTATAAGGACTCACGGTCATGCTAGACACCAACGTATAGATACTCGTCACCATGCCTATACATCGTACTCGATCACATAGCAATTAGCAACAAGACTCAACTCCTATTCCCTCAAGCTAGGGTTAAACCAAACACTTACCTCGGTCCCAAGAATAGCAATCAACCTTCAAAGACCGCCTTTCCTCTACAATCCGACTCCGAAACCGTGATATCTAGGCATGATTAATTTAATAATATCAATAAAGACTCAATGGCAACATCCCATAGCCTAGATATGAATTTTCTAGCATTCTTCCAAAAATACCAAAATTAGACACCGGGCCCACATGGTCCAAACTCGAGGCTCGGACCAAAACCGATCACCCATAACCCCACGAATCCAAATATGTAATTTGTTTGAAGATTCGACCCCAAGTTGAGGTTGAATCACCCAAAATTCTCAAAAACCTACTCTACCCAAAACCCTTAATTTCTACTTTGATTTCATGATCTAGGGCTAGGAATTTAGTAATTAGATGAAGAACTAATGAGGGAAAGATGTTAAGATTACTTACCCAAAGAGTTATGGAGGAAGGAGAGCTTGAATTTCGTCTATGGAGGGTTTAAGAGGAGAGCCCGTGTGAAAAGAATGAAGAAATCCCGTCACTGGTTCTGTTTTTAACTTAAAAATTCGCTGGGCAAAATTGCCCTATGCGATCGCGGAAATAGGGATGCGATCGCGAAGGGTACCATTGACTGGTCATCGCGATCGCGTGGAGGGTTACGCGATCGCGTAGAAGAACTACTGGGGGTCCAAGCGATCGCGAAGGAAGACGACTCAGTGCTATGCGATCGCGTGGGGAAGAGCGCGATCGCGAAGAAGGAAATCCCTGTGTAAAAATTGCAGAAAATCTGATATCATCCTAAGTCCAAAACCACCCCGAACACCTCCGAAAACACTCCCGAGCCCTCGGGGCTCCTAACCAATCACACACCCTAACTCAATAACATCTTACGAACTTACTCGAGCGATCAAATCGCCAAAATAACCTCAAAATCATTGGATGAAGCCTCAAAATCATCATTTTCCTTTCAAACTTCATAAACTTCAAACTTTAGATATTTAGGTCCGAAACACGTCAAACGACGTCCGATTTCGACCAAACTTTACAGAAAGCGCTTAACACATATTTAAGGCTTGTACCGGGCGTCGGAACCAAAATACGAGCCCGATACCACGGTCTTTTAATCAATTTTCATTTCCATTTTCCTTAATAATTTCAGAAAAACAATTTCACAGAAAAATTCATTTCTCGGGCTCTAGACCTCGGAATTCGACTCCGGGCACATGCCCGAGTCCCATATTTTTCTACGGACCTTCCGGGACCGTCCAATCTCGAGTCCGGGTCCGTTTACCAAAAATATTGACCGAAGTCAACCTTAAACATATTAATATCAAAATTCTTCAAATTTTTCACAGAATTCACATATTTCAACATAAAAGCTTTTCCGGCTACGCGCCCGGACTGTGCACGCAAATCGAGGCAAGTAAAAATGAGGTTTTCAAGGCCTTGGAAGCACAGAATGAATGAGGAAACAGGTGATGACCCTTTGGGTCGTCACAATAGAACTCTACAAAGATGGTTACTGTAACTTGTATTTAAACTCATTGAGGCATTCAATAATACACACAGTATTTTCCATCATCTATTCAAGTCTTTATAATAGCTTGGAGGAAGATGTAAAGGAAGTACTCACTACCGAAATTAAAGTATAGTATTTATACATGCCCTAATAATTTCGGATTTTGGATACGATCGGATTAAAATATACCAATGCGAATCCGATCGGAAATCCGAAATTTTAGTAAACACAATCCGAAATCTGAAATTGAATGGATCGGTTCGGATTTCGGATATCCGATCCGAACGAACAGCCTTAGCTGGGAGTCGGACTGTGATCATTTATATATTGAATATCACTAGTTAGATTTTGCTTTACCTCCTGTCCATATTGTAGAGATGATAATGATGACATGTTTACTTATCCATACCTTATATTGTCTTCGTGTTTGGTACTGTTTGTCAGTTATTAGGGCAACTGTGCCAACATTGGAACTGGATAATGTTTTTGAACACAAAACCGAGATAGCCAAAACAGTGGCGAAGCAACTCGCAAAGGTATTTCTTTATATCGATACTGCAACTCTTAAGCAAACAAATAGAAGTCAAGAAACTAAATTCAGTCTCTTATCTGATTTTCCTTCGGGAATTACATAGGCAATGTCTCTTTATGGATATGAGATAGTTCAGACTCTTATTGTAGATGTTGAACTAGATGATCACGTGAAAAGTTCAATGAATGAGATTAATGCAGGTATCATTATCTTTAAAATTCACTGGCTTACTTTTTTATCCCTTAAATAAAAGTAAAATTTTCTCTAGCTGTGAGCTTGTCCAAGTTCAAGTGATCTGGAAATATTGCTTCATAATATTCTTGGGGAAAATTGGAAATCTGTACTTTTTACCACTGAATTACAATCCGTCTTTAGTTTTTCCTTTGGACTACAACCACTTTTTGGTTTCCAACGAGGAATACGTGGTTGCTATGTTTTGTCTTTGTATCACATCTTGGCATTAACTCCTCTAGCAAAGAGTCAAAACAGTTCTACAAAGTTAAAAAGTTACAAGTTTTGGACCATGGGGATCATGTTTTCAATTCTAGCTTTGCATATTGGACCATGTCTCCTTTGCTCTTCTAATGTGAAACGATAATTCATGAAAACCAGCTTCAAGATTGAGAGAAGCTGCATACGAGAAGGCAGAAGGAGAGAAGATTCTGCAGATAAAGCAAGCAGAGGCTGAAGCAGAATCAAAGTATTTAGCAGGGCTTGGCATTGCTCGTCAACGTCAAGCTATTGTCGAAGGGCTCAAAGAAAGTGTACTCGGTTTCTCAAATAGTGTTCCAGGTGCATCATCCAAGGATATCATGGATATGATTTTGATTACCCAATACTTTGACACAATGAAGGAGATAAGTGCCTCTTCTAATTCATCTACTGTCTTCATTCCTCATAAGCCAGAGGATGAGACTTTCAGAGCAGATGTAAATGAACAGTTTGCTTCAAGGAAAAACATCTAGGCTACGATGCAGAGTTGATGGTTTCTTTTTGTACATCTAAACTTGGAAGATTAGGAATCATCCAACTGCCTTGAAATTTCTGCAAGGAAGACAAAGGATAGCTATTGAAGAGAGAGGGTATTTTCCAAATCACCTTCTCCATGTATTGTGTTAGAAAAGGAAAGGTGGGAGAACTAATTGTGTGCACATTCTCCAGCTACACATAGCAGGCTATTTTCTTAAACACTTGTACAAAGTATTTGATAATTTCAAGGAGGGTGTGGAAAATAGGTGCACTTGAGAAGTATATGAACAACCTGGGATTTTACTTCATTTTCTTGAAGTGATGTTGGTATAGAGAGGAGCTGGGGGCACTGGCAGAATATATGCACTATATTATATACTTCAGTGATCAGTGAGCTCTTTTATGCAATTGTAGCCAAGTGGGCATCGTAGATGTAAACTTTATTGATTAGTTGATTTTCCACCAACCAAGACTAACAAAGCTAACAGGCATCCACAATAGATGCAGTGTGCTTCACAAGATCTCCTTTAATAGCAACCATATATGTCAGTGATCTCGCTCAGTAGATGGCCAAGCAACTAGCACCAATCAAAAAGGTCTCAGTCTAAAACTTCCTTTCCTGATAAGGACTAAGAAAAGAAGAGCTCTTACTGGAGAGCTCCTCTGTGCCATCACTGAACTCCAACAACATAAGGGAAAACTGTTCATACCATTAAATAATGAACAAATAAAGATTAATCAATTGCATGAATGATGAAGCCAAGTTAAGTCAAAAACCAGTCCCTCAATCGACATTTGAGATGGATATAAGCAAAAATTCATGAGTTTGCATTACCAGTTGAAGGTTAATCTTACTGGTGCAGAAGGACAATGTGCTGAAACAAGTCTATCTAATTTATTACTCTGGACCATACAAAACAACCCTGCTTCACTCACTTCTCTGTAAGGTCGTAACAGACTCATGGCTTGAGGGCTACAGCCAACCCAATCTTGGCGCTCTTTTCAATTGCCCTGGTGTCCACTTCACCAGATATTGTGAAAAGGGATTTTGGTCGCCACTCGTGTCGGATCAGAGCACTTGCCTTACCATAGCTGTTAACCCGAGCCTTCACCGTGGTCAATGGGTCCAACAAATGCTGTGTCCCGATGGTCAGCGTGTTCTCGTTGCTTGAGAAGCTGTGAGTCAACTCTGCTCCAACAGCTGTATTTGTCACCGGCTTCACAGTGTGGTAGTAGGAAGCACTAAGGGTATCACCCTTGTCATTCCTGTATAAAATTATTGCTTAGTCCAAAAAAAATCCAAGATTAGAAAACAACAAAGACAATGATAGAACATGTTGGTCCCCAAGTCAATTTCCTCAAAATCCAAGAGACATTTAATGCAATTATACAGCCCTCAATTTGTTTCAAAATAGCATCTCATCAATATTAGTCGGGCTGAAATAATTCAAATCCCAAAAGAGTTTCTTGTAGAAAGACAGAAAAACAAGACGTTACAAGGAAATCATTTGACAAAAAGAAAGAGAATGAATGGCTAAAAGACAGACTTTGTTCAATGAAGAATCTAACAAATACATATGTACAAGGAGGCACACAAATACTTACAGTGCTAAGGAAGCAATCAGAACAGAAGTGGAAAAACTCAGACCAGCATTTGACAAAAAGAAAGAGAATGAATGGCTAAAAGACAGACTTTGTTCAACGAAGAATCTAACAAATACATATGTACAAGGAGGCACACAAATACTTACAGTGCTAAGGAAGCAATCAGATCAGAAGTGGAAAAACTCAGACCAGCATTGCATTTTGTGAAATTGCCCGAGGCAGTGTCAAATGATAGATCAGTGCCCAAAGCAACAGTATTGTTGCCAGCAACGCCAGAGAAGTTGACAAGAGGACTTGCTGTAAGTCCAATGCCAGTACTGATCCCAGCATACTCATGCAAGTATTGGAGCTCTACCTGTAACATACTTATTTTGCTTAGGAATCACGCAATTCTAAACTACCAACCAACTGCAGAGAAATATTGTTAAAAGCAAAGGTACCTTTCCAGATTTCTGATCTGGTAATACAAAGCTGACGATTGTCTTGAGTCCCGGTGCAGGTTCATCAACAGTGATGGTAGTGTAGACCTGCATCATTCAATCCAAATTAATTAGCACAGTGTCGGGCTGTGCTCCAACTCAGTTAGGACAAAAGAAGCTTGAACTTGTCAATTTCCCGATCAATGTCTCAAAATCAAAACCAAAGAAAGAAGACGGAGAACTTTTTGTGAGAGTGTAGAGGGAAGGGAAGAGGGAAGAACAAGTTAGATAACTCAAACACATATTACTCCTCCCCCCAATTGACTGTCCTTTGACTTTGGTTGTGAAACTCATTTGTTATTGACTACCAGAAAACTCATTTATTTTGATTGTCATACTTGACCATTCAGTCTTCTGTTACTAAAAGTTTGCATTTGGAGGTATTTGCATCTCGCTTCATTCAATCCCTACCAATATCATAATGTCTACTTTGAACTCTAACTCTACAAGATATATAATCACTCTAAAGATTGACAAATTCGCTTTTAAAATTTACTCAATCAGTTTTATTAAGTTCCTCCCTGCATATGGTGGGTGATTTGGATGGAAAGGAATCAACGATGTTTGGGAGCAAATATGAAAGTATACATACATTGGAATAGAGAAATATATATATCTTTTTTGGCTTTTCGGTGTAGACTAGAAGATGTTAGTACAGCAGATAGGATGTTAGATTTCCTCAGCTTCCAACAGTTATGTAAAAGAACTGATTTGCATGTATTTTGGCACAAATTTTGTGCTTCAGTTCACAAAAGTCTTACCATCCTCAGAAAAATAAATTCACTCTTATAAATCAGAAAAAAATCCACATCTTTTAAAGGGAAACCTCACAAATCAGAGAGAGAGAGAGAGGAGGGGGGGGGGGTGGGTGGGTTACTTAGTAATAAACGGACTCGGCAACATAACCAATAAACCAACACCGAAGTAGAAAATTNAGTTTCAGCATAATATGCTGGAAGTTCATACACAGGTGCACCGAACTCCAGTATAATATGCTGGACGGGGGGGCTTATATAAAGGAACTCGGCACATAACCATAAACAACACCAGTGAAAATGTTAATGTCCGAGATGCTATTAAGCGGATAAAAGACAGTCTGCGGGAGAGATCCAACAGCAAAATGGAGGAGAGCACGCAAACGAGCAACATAAGACACTTACTAAGGATAGATCTTTTTTCAAACCTTTGCGAAAAGAGTTAAAGTTAGAAAAAGACTTGCCATTTAAGAAACTATGGCAGATTGTGATAGAGTGGATGTCCTAACTTCTCAATTATTACCTTGTAATTGTTGGACAGCATATTAACATTGTTAATTGCAAGTGTGAAAATAACTCGTACACGCCAATTAATCTAACAAACACATTCTTTCAATACGCAAGGAGAAAGGTATCGACTCCATGGACTTGCATTGAATCAGACAGCAAGAAGGAAGAAGATAACACAGTAACCAAATTAATACTTCAGCGGACTCCTTCAGTTTTACTTTTAGTTTTCCAGATTTCTTGGGTTATATTCTAAAGGGAAGGTTTGATCAAGTGATCAAGTCTGAACAAAGTGTGACCAGATCAATATGGCTCACACAACCAGACATGTTGCCACCTAACATCTCCAAAGCATATAAATTCAAAAAAGTATCCCCAGTTAAAAATACTAGAAGTTACTAAACATAGGTAAACTAATATTAGATGCCAGTAATCAAGCTGAAAATGAGAAGGAAAAAGGCAATAAAAGGTAAGAAAGTATTCTCAAACTCACATTGGAATTGGTGTCCACTTTTACATCAGTGGTAACATTTTTGTTCTTCAGCTGGGTGTTAACATCCGCTAAGAATAATTCACCTTTCTTCAGACCAGATGAGGTAATAGCCTGAAATGTGAGAGAGAGACTTTAGCGACATACTCTTAACTGGTCACAACAATTTCAATAACAAGAGAGTATTGCTAAACAATGTGAGCCATCCACTACATACATCCACTGTTAGGCAACACCATGGAAATCCATCCCAAGAATTACAGACTCTGCTGGAAGTTAGTAATAAATACTAGGTGAGTTTTTCCTATCTGCCTAAACCTTGTTGAGCAAAGCTGCCCGGTACATGTGATGATGGAAGGTAGCAGGTACCCAGCAAATAGTCAAGGTGCACAAGTTGGTCCGCCACCACCGTGATAAAAAAATAAAATAATTACCAATACAGAGAAAATGTGAATTAAATAACATCTCATTCCTCATTTCCTAAAGTAAGTAGTTTCCTTTCCATATCTTGCTACGAGCTGCATAAGACCAAAATTGTTACAATTACCCACCCCCACCCCACCCCCCCACCCCACAAACCATATTCTTCTACTTTCCTGTATACTAGTAAAATTTGTCACGACTACATATTTCACACCAAAACGCAAGCACGAATGAACAATAAGCAAAAACATAGAATGATAAACTCATAGCATTAAACCCGAATAATACACTATAGATAAAACATATACATATGGAGAGAAAAAAAAACTGACCACTCCGGTTGAGCTATAGGTAGTGACGGTGAACTTATGGTCACTGACATAGTCCCTGTACAGAAGATCTAAACAACAACAACCAAAACATAAATATCGATCAAATTACCAACACACACGAGTATTGTTTGGTTACTAAATAATGAAAATGATTTTATCAAAAAACATTTTGCCCAGTACGAAATGAAATGAAAACCAAACATGAGAAAAGAGAAATACCTCTAGCTTTTTTGCCGATATCGGAGTAAAGTCCAGGACCCTTCACCATTTTCTGTGACTGTTTCTGCAAAGAGAAAGAGAAGGTTCTAGAGAGAGTGTCAGGGAGAGAGAGAGAGAAGCGGTGTTTATCAAAAGACTTGGTTTGGTTCTGGTGAGGAAAATTATAATACGAAATAACCCTAGCTTATTTCGGCGCGTCTTTTTAGACCGTCGGATCTTATGATGAACGTGAAGGAAGAAATTGTAGACCGTTGATCGGATCAAACATGAGGGCAACACAGAACTTTCCTTGGAAAAATAAAAAATGTGTCTTATCTTGCATTTCTGTTTAAGGAATTTAATTTCTCAGTCCAACCTGGACCATAGCCCTTCCTCTGTGCCTAGAGTTAGGTTGGCCAATTTTGAATGTTAGTAATATTAAAGTGAAATTTAATCAATTTATTATTTCTTCCGTTCACTTTTATTTATTCACTATAAACTTTATACACCCATTAAAAAATAATAAGTAAAATACATAATTTACCACGATACCCATTATAATTGATACATATTTTTAATGGATTTAAGAAAATACTTTGAAAAGAATAATTAATATTGTGGGTATTAAAAAAAAGGAATTGTCTTCTCTTGTTAAAAGTGACAAGTAAAAGTGAAAATCTATTTTTAAAATACTGGACAAGTAAAAGTGAGCGGAGGCACTAATTGTGTAAATTCTTGTTAGATGGATTATGATATGTTTATTGCTATAGCAACCAGTTAAATTGTTAACGAACAAAAGGCATGAAATCCAGGTCACAAAAATGAAGATAGATTTTCTAGTTTGCTGGCAAATAATCACACACACGCACGTTTTCATCGTTACTTTTTATATTTCTTTTCCTTTGGATTAAGAGTAAACCCATGAATAGAAAAGAGGAAGGTCACAATTTCACGGGAGAAATTCAGAAATAGCCAGATTTACAAGTGATCATTCAAATATAGCCATAGTTTCAAAAGTCATCGAAATTTAGCCACTTTTCATGTAAAGATAAATCTGAACGAAAACACTGTTCAAATCCGGGAAATACTCCAGCATAATATACTGGAGTTCCAGTATACTT